TGTCCACAGGAAAAAGCGCTCTCCAGCAACAGCTATGCGGCTTCGCTCCGTGGAAGAAGCAGATGATTCGAAGCACCGCGCCACTCACCCCACATCGCTCCGGATCCCCGAAACCGGGTTTCCCCGCGAGTAGGGGAGGCGCAAAAGGTGCCCGCTGAATCCCACGTTCACAGGCTTCTCCCGCCTGTGATTTTTACGGGTCTCCGCCTTCGCTGTGGCGGTACAGACCCAAATTCCCACGGGGCAAATTGCTCCCAGTCAGAGGAATTCAGCCATTGCCGATGGCGCCAACCCGGAAGTCCGAAGTGATTCATAACTTTCATTGACAGGTTTTCTATAATAGTTTGAAAGCGTTCAGAAGGCTGTGACAGAAAATGAGTAGGGAAGAACTTGACACGACTTAAGTCAACATCTAAACTCCTTAGAGTCATGAATCATTGGAAGAAGCTTGGGTTTTTAAAAGGGATGACTGTATTTTACTAGCAAAATTCCTGCCACTTTAATTGAAGGGGTATTTGTGGAGGGAGGAACTGTCTGCACCAGAAACCTAGCATTGGGTGGTGGATCATGGTTTACATAGCTTCCCCTGTGTACATGCACTTTGCAGAGGAGAAGAGGAAAGATCTCTGCACTGAGAAGCTTACAGTTTGTAATTTGACACAGGGAGAGACAACAGAGAAAGAGCCAAGAGTTTGGAGAATGGATTAATATACATTCATTTGCTTGTATTTAGGCTTAGTTACATAGTAGGCCTTCCTCAACCTGGTGTTCTCCAGATTTTGCAGAACTACAGCTATCATTATACCCAGTGCTTTTTTTCCTTAAAAAATGTTTAGGGGTACTCTCATTTTCCTACTCATATTGAAATACTGCTCCTCAATGAGGCCAAACTTAGATTCACAAAATGTTTAGGGGTATGCCTACCCCTGTGTATCCCCAGAAAAAAAGCACTGATTATATCTAACCATTGACCATGGGCCATGCTGTGACCTCTAAATATTGTCTAACAATAGATGTATTGTCTAAGAATATCTAGAGGCCCCAAGTTGAGGAATGCTACTGGACCAGAAGGACAGCATTCAGATAGCATTTAATTCTATCTTTCTACTGTTCCTTACCTGTTAATTTCCATGTTTTATGTGACCTTTCACACAATGTAAAATCCACTTCTAGAAATCTAGCAGAAGTTTAGTGCTCATTTCCATGGTAATTGTTTCCAGAAAGAAAGAAAAACATTTGCAATCCTGGAACCTAGAATTTCTCATGAGTTTTGCATTGTTAATTTCCTGCAGTTTTCATGAATTAGTTTCCCGCACTGCTCATGTAATGAAATTTTGGGTGCTGTTTTGACATACTGCATGGTAAATCATGGGGGGAAAGAAATGTGTGTGTGTAGAAAGGGTGAGAGAGTTGCAATATGTCTGATGGTGTTCATTGTTGTGTCACATCACACTTGCAGGTGTGGATGAAATGTAGCATGACATGGCAGTATATCGATCAAAGAGCCACAGTACTATAGCACAACAGGTACCGCAGTATAAATGGAAGATTAAAAATCAAGACAGAAGTGCTAGCATTATAACCAGTAAAACTACCATAATAAACTCCATGTCTGAATGCAGCTATGGTTTCATGAAGGTGTTCTGAGAAGCAGTTCCTAGAATAAGGAGCAGCAAAAGGGAAAGAGGCATGTGAGGAAATCAGTCTTGTCTAACCTCCCAAACTAGGGCCTTATAGATCTTCTACAGTCTCAATGTACTTGCAATACATGATGGTCTCCTTGGAGTCTCTGTACTTATTGTAGTCATTAGAGCAGGACTGAAGAACAATTGCCCAGCCTTGCCCAGCCTTGTGCTCTCCACATGTTTTGGACTTCAACTCCTATCAGCCCTAGCCTGTATGGTCAATGGGAGTTGTAGTTCAACATCTAGAGAGCCACATGTCCCCTCCACAACTTTATAGTATCATAGGAGGATGACTAAAAGGAGGGAAATAGATTTACACAATAACATGGCCAAGCATGTGCTCCTAAAATTTATTGAGATGCTTTTTGCGGTCACCAAAATTCGAACCACATATCATTTCCTGTGTAAATATTGGATCCAGAGCAATATTCTCTTTTGCTCACAGAATTAACATATTGTTTTAGGTTGTAAACAAGTGGCTATGTGGGTAGAATGTTATTGGAAGAACACCGAGTAAAATTAATTCCCAGAGGCATCACTAGGATTTACTATGACTTTCCAGATTGTTAATTTAGTTCAATAATTGTGCAGCTACTGCTCAGTTGCTGTACCTGATCCAGAATGCTTTTCTCCAATATGCCCTATTGTTGTATTTTCCCAACACATAGGCCACAATATTTTGCCCTTTAGAAAATGCAACTCCTTTCCTACCACACCCCTAATCCTACTACATCAATTACAGCTCAGAGTACAGCATGTATCACACTCAGCCAATGTCTGTAGGAGCATGACTAGTAACCAACACAACTACCCAACTCCATCTGCACCATTCATTGTGACTACTTTTTGCAAGGGTTACTTTTGAATCCTTTATTGAAACAGTTCCTCCACTCTCCTGCTCTATAACTCTAAATACTTACCTAGCTTGCTGGTTTCTTATGTTTCTCTTTCCAAATTAAGCAACATGTGACTTAACTCTCATAACTTATTGGTGGAACTAATTTAGTATTAAGATTACCATGCTCTATTTGGAATGGTCTTTTGTGTTTCAGAATTGGAATGATTATTTTATTTGTTTCTATAACTGTAGATTCTGCTGTTGTAACCCACCTTGGGACCTTATGGCAAAGAGTAGGTAAGGAATATTGTTTATAAGTAAAATTATTTATTTGTACATGCAAGTATGTCAACATCCCTTTTCTATGTGGATGTACATTTGTACATGTTTCTGTACATATTTTTGTTATTTATAATTAATGCATATTATTATTATTACAACTATAATAAAAAAAATTCCTTCTTTGCACAATGTATACCCTACATTACTAATACAAATAGGCACTTGAAGTAGACAATTTCAGCAAGAGTGGCCTTTTAATGCACATTGTTTTGGGTAACTTTTCCTTTCCTTTATACCGGTATTCTTCCCCCCTCTCGAGCTCTGCAGCACACATCTTTAGGGCTGCAGTAAAGGGCATGTGACCTAGGCAACTGGCTGGGCAACTGGGCTTGGGGGGGATGCTAAGTTCAAGCCTCACCTGCTGTGCACTATCTACTTAAGTATCCACGCAACAGGTGAAACAATAGTTGAAACAGTTCATCTTCATTTTCAAACTGGCAAAACTGACATATTTCCCCAACACTGTCTTTCTTTACAATGTTCGTTTGGTGTGAGCATGTGGTGCTTTTTAGTTTGCAGGAAAACAAATCATACCAGTGCTCATTTACAAACACCATGTGCATGAGTGTTTGTGATTAGATCAATAGTTTGGATCCAGACTCAGCTGGATTTAGGTCCTACTGAAAAATGTGAAAGAGCAGATGAATGTTCAACTTTCATTCTAAAAAGTAAGTCTGTAGCTCCTTCATTAAGGAAAAAGGTGCAGGCAGTATTCTACTTAATTCCTCCCTGTGGTGTAATTAAATGACTTTTAAATAACTTTGAACATATCTGGCTACTTGTATTTATTATCAGGCTGATCTGCAATTTTTCAGCAAGCTCTCTCTGATGTGCAGAAATATTCTGCCTCTGTGCATTCAAGTGGTAGGACAGTCATATGGAAAAGAAGGCAAGACTCCTGTACCTTTAAGGGTTGTATAGAAGGATTTCAGCTGGTGTAGCTTGTCAGGCAAGATACACCTGCTGAAACGCCCTCTTCTATATCACTATTAAATGTGCAGGGGCTCCACCTTCTTTTTTGCATCTGGCCACTGTAACTGGTAAACCTAGACCCATATAATTTATGTCTTTGCCACCTTCAACGGGTTTCCCAGGGCAGTCCAGTGCATATCTTCTGGGAAGCGAGTCCCACTGAATTAAATTGGACTTTCTCCCAGATGTGTATACTTAGAAGAGCACTATTCATTTGTCAAGGGGCAGGGAGATATTACCAAGAACTCACTTCTTCAGACCTGTCCCCTTCCAGTAAAGGTAAAGGGGCCTTGACCATTAAGTCCAGTCGCGGACGACTCTGGGGTTGCGGTGCTCATCTCACTTTACTGGCCGAGGCAGCAAGCGTTTGTCCACAGACTGCTTCCAGGTCCAGTAAAGGGTAAAGGTAAAGGGGACCTCTGACCATTAGGTCCAGTCGTGACCGACCAAATTGTGAGAAAACAATGTAAAGAAAAAATCAGAAACAAAGTCTAAGAAACAGAGACCAAGAGAGTAAAAAATTCTATTGAATTATTTTCTCCTTTACCATTTTGTTTTGTTTTGCACTACATTTTTTTTGTTTCCCTACCATTATTTGGTATACAATATATCCTTTTCTTTACCACTCCTCTTCACCTTTTATCCACTGTCGTCATCTTCCACCCATCCTGTCTTTTCAAGCTATAGTTTTAGCTCTTGAGATGCAGCAAGAAAATGCAGTGAAATAGGAGACCCCTTTCTGCTGAGCTAAACCCCATTTGACAGTATGTCATATACTGTAAATACATCTGCATTTTGCATAGCATAAGGAAGACGTCTGACAATAAACAGAACAAGATAAGATGTCTGAAATGCAATATTTATGTTGTATGATTCAGCTTTTAAGTCCTGCCAGGCCTGCATTTCAAAATGTGCTCAAGTCCAAGTTTACAATTCTTTCTACCCAATATTTTAAAAACGATGTGTTACCAGTTTTGTTAACGATGTTTTGATGTCATAGCACATTTTGGGTTATATCAAATTGCCTTCCTCCACTTATAAAAGGCTTTTAGATACAACTGAAGCTTCTGGGAAGGGAACAGGAAAGAAGGTGATTTTTGCACATTCCATCTTTCTCCTGTAGCCACCCCTGCATAACTTCCCAAGCAGTTCTAAACTTTAGAGGATGGGGTGTAGCTTAGGAGTAGAGCATCTGTTTTGCATGCATTAGATCCTGGGTTCAATCTCCAGCACCTCCATGTAGGGCTGGGAGAGACTCCCTGCTTGAAATTCTGGAGATCTACTGTCAGTCAGTGTGGAGAATACTGAGCTAGATGGGCCAATGATCAGACTTGGTATAAGGCATCTCCCTGAGTTCCTAGGATCTCCCAACCTTCTGGAGCAGATTTGGAAAGGTGCAGGGGGATGCAGATGTGAGTGGGAACCAGTGAAAATTGCCTTTCTCCCACTTGTGGAAGACTCTGATAGATTGAAGAACTGTTCAGGGAAGATGGGAGTTGCAGTCCAGCAACATCTGGAGGGTTACAGTTTCCCCACTTCTGGACTACATAGACCACTGCTCAGACCCCCATGTTGCATATTCAGTGAGCTGGTCTGCTTTTACAGCTACCAAAAATAGTTGCTAGCGTTCTACAGCAGAAGTGAGCAGACTTCTAGACTCTACTTTGTGATTTCTTTCTTCTTTTCCTTTCCTTTCCTTTTTTATTTTTATTTTTTTTACAAAAACCCTGAGATCTGTTAACTGGAGCCTGATGAAAAAAGGCATACCTTAAGATTGTCAGAACTCAAGAGCCCAGGAATTTGTTTTGAGTATGAGAACTAAGCAGAGCTCACTGTCCTTCCACATGTACAAATCTCCACTCCTGGTTACCTCAGGCTTTCTTCAGTTCACTAGTATAATTTAGAGCAGGATGAGGAGAACATTAGCTCATAAGAAGAGCTCTGCTGGATCAGACCAGGTGCTTATCTAGTAGCTAGTAGCCATTGATAGCCTTATAATCCAAGATAAGGAGAATCATTTTTTTACTGCTGTTGTTAAACACAGTGGCAGAGAGTAGTCAAACTCTCTGTAGTCAAATTCAGGGCGGGCACTGAATGTGCTCCCAAGGGGACAGGATCTGGCATGGCCTAGCATATCACCCCCCCCCCAATGCTTCCCCACGCTACACCACTGGTTAAACAGTTGGGAGTCAGACATCCTTGCCACTCTACTACAAATGACTCAGATATTTGCTGGTCGATCCTGATCACCTTCTCTACCCTACACTTGAGGAATGCCACGGAATGCTAAGAACCATGGGCTGTCTGTAGTACTTGAGTAGCGGTACTTTTAGCACGGATAAAAGGTGCCAGATCTCAGAATGTAAATCTTTATTGTGTTTCCCATTCACCAGTTTTTGTAACATTTCTGTAGGCTCAGCATCTCTCTGATTAACACAGTAGTTCAATGGTTACGGAATCTATTTATATATACACCTAGTCCCTGAAGTTGTTTCTTGTTAATGCTGTTACTGGGGGTACTCTATCCACCTCTATAAGCATGCCCACACATGCACCTGCTGATAAATGTGTCAGAGCGGCACATGCATTTTCAGTATTTATTTATGAGCATTAGTAATGCCTGTAAGAAGAATGAGCATCAAGCTATCTGAAGAAGCCAGATGAACTGGGGACAATGTGGCTTTATCGTTAAGGAGGTACAATATGACACTCCTACTTTTCTCTTGATGAGATTTTTTAACAAACACAGTCAAATCCTCTATATCCTCTCAGATCCTGTTTGTATAGACTGAGAAATCAATGCATTTCATTTGGGAGGGCTGGGAAACATTGCATTGATCTTGCACTATTAAATATATGCTTGTGCATTACGTAAATATTAGTTACTATTTAAGCCCACTGTGCACCTGTAGCGTCAATTAAGGGAAGCTTTATTGCCCAATGTTGGTCCACTGGCAATAACAAGTCTCTTGAGTCTGGCACAATAGTTTGCTTCTGGGGATAATATTTGGATATTATGTGGTAGAGTAGTTAGAGTAGTTTGTCACGGGAGGCCAAGATTAAATACACACTCAGCTGATTGGGTCACCTTAGGCTAGTCACCATCTCTCTGTCTAGCCTACCTCACAGGGTTGCTGTGAGGATAAAATGGGTAGGGGGAGAACCATGTACACCAACTTGAGCTCCTTGGAGGAAATGCAGGATATAACTATGATAACAAAAAAAATCAACTTGGGAAGCTGATTTGGAAGCATTTACCTTTATTAGAATGGGGGCCATCAAGCTCAAGTTGTATAGTGCAACCTTGTATATGTCCATTCAGAAGTTTATTGTCTTTTCTGGGACTTACTCCTAACAGACTTAATAAACAGAAGTCCTTATATAGTGTGCTGTGATTGAAACAATTTGATTGTAAAGTTTGCTATCAGAAGTTTTAATTGTTCTTCTCATGGCCTATTTTCTCCTTATCACAGATCATATCATGATTTCGGACTCACTATTAAAACATATCATGATTCTATGTGGCAGTAAGCAATAATAGGCTATTAATGGAGTCCTCCAGCCTTTCTGGGATCTTTGCTGTAACAATAGTCTTTAAACAAAGATCTTTAAACTGTATATTTATATATACAACTCACTACATGGCATAATTGTTATATTATAGCCAGGTTTCTATTTGCTCAGTGCAAAATTCTGTTTAAGTGCAAAAGATGATCCACATTCTGTATATTAGCTGAATTCTACGACCTGTGTACTTTATGTAAATTAAGCAATTTTTGTGTAACTTAGTACACAGCTTGCAAGCATGGGGACAAGCAAGCAGAAAATGTTCCACATTGGTGCTATTTAAAAAGCACTTTTTAGTGTGTCTTTTGAATTCTCAACCATCAAGTGTTTTCATAGGATGTGATTATTACATCTGTTTTGAGGATTGGCATAGTGAGTAGTCTATAGATTACAGTGATCCAATTACTGTACCAAGACCACATAGAATGTTAGGGGCCCACTCATTGATTGAATCTAGGCATATTGCCTTTCATTTTCGTGATTTAATTTCATAACCATACTTAGGTATCTAAAGACCTTCTTTTGCTACACTTAATGCTATTTCATGGTTTCTCATAGCTCATGCATGGAGCTTTTTTGGAGACCTGTAAAGAGCCGACCATTCATATAGACATACGCAAACCGAACCAAATTGTTAACAGATGCAGTAATATAACAGCTCGGCCACACTGATGCTTGCAAAATGAAGGGTAACGACAGAGAAGGAGAGCTTGTTATTGTCTTTTATATGAAACCCATCAAAGCAACTAATGACGTGTGTGTATTTTTAACCCTGCTTTAGGGGGGGGGATGCAATGTGAAGTTTAACATTCCTACAGTTTAACATATAGCTAGCTTTCTTTTCACTCCTAAATCTCTCCATGCCAAAACCATACTTTGTCCCCAGACATTTTCCTTTTTCACTCTATCCTATAATTCTCTAACCACAAGGTTATAAGAGTTCAGCTCCAGCGAGATTAATTGAAGGCTGCAGACCTCTCATCCACAGGAGCAGGAGCCATTTTAATTTGAGGGCCCTCTCTGCTAGCTAGTGCAACACCCACAGTTTACACAAAAGTCCATCTTATAATGGTTGTCACACCCCAATTACATAACGCCGTTTCACCAGGCCTAGCAATGAACCCAGTGGTAATTAAAGGGGTCTATAATTCCAAAGTATCTAGCTTGTTTTGTGGAAATAAATTATAACAATTGCTTAAATCTGTGCATTTGGGATGGACATGATGCATTTTGTTGTTTGAGATGACAGACAAGATGATGTCCATCCCCATTCCATGTATAGAAGTTGTGACTGCAGGACTTAAGATAACAAAGTTAATTTAGGGAGTGATGGGCATCAGGCTATGTTAGAAGTGTGAGACAGGCTGTATGGCATATACAACTCTGTCAGCCAACACCTCACCACCACGTGTCACCCCAAAGCACTCTGTGCTGTTAGAGTGGCTGGGAAAACCCAGTCAGATGGGCGGGGTATAAATAATAAAATTATTATTATTAGATATCAGGGAGTGGCAGGGCTCTGAAGTGTATGTGTGGTGGAGGCAGGGGACGAGGAGAGTGACCTAGGTGAGGGCACCAGTGATTTGTGGAGTATCACGCCACCCACAAGGAGCCAGGGGATGAGGGAGAGTCAGGGCAGTCTGAAGCAGAAAAGTGAAGAGCAGTGATGACTTCAACCTATCAGATGAGAGTATATAAGCTGGAGGAGGAGAGAGGTCCCACTGTTGCTGCAACTGCTCCATATGGCCCAGATCAAACCCTAGCTCATGATTACTCATATCTAAAAGCAAAGCCAGGAAGCTGAAGTATATTATTAATATACCAACACCATACGGAAATCCTTCAGTCCTGTCCACATTTTCCTGAGAAAAAGCCTCACTGGGCTAACCAAGAAAGCACACAGGATCAGGCTGCACCTCTCCAAAATGCCACTCGAACAAAATATTTTTCTCCCCCCTCCCTTAGAGAGCTATAATACAATCACTATGAAAGACAGAAATGGGAACCTGAAATACAAAGCAGCAAGTTATTAGACTTGCTGAAGGCTAAGTAATGAATCAGCTCTTAGACTTTGGGAGTGCCTGGCTCCAAGCTCCAAGAACACAGAGAGAGTTAGAGGATAAAGTAAGCACTAGTTTTGGGGGAAGAGCCAAGAAAACAACACATGGGCAACAGCATGGTTCTCAGGCCAGGGCCATACAGCCTGACTGAAAACACATGATCCAAAATGAAGAAAACAGAAGCACTGCCCAGAATAATCAGTAGCATTTAATCCCACAGTATAAGTAACAAGTAATTTAAATGTTCTAAAACCTTCCAAGTCAACCTGGGTGTCACACCATTTGACCTGGAAACTCTGTACTGGTAGGTTGTGATGTGCTAGTGATGAGGAAAAGCACTATGTACATATTCAAAGGATTTTTGCCATTATTTATATGTCTCAGATAGAGTTATCACTTTTCAATCAACCAATCAAAACTCTGTGCCTTTAGCAACTGTATAATAAGTAGAGATTTGCCAGTGAATGTGCATTAGTGAGAAAATATTTACATTTAATTTATGCCTGTCATGCAACCATTAAAGGCTCAGCACCTTGTCCTGGGGATGTATGTATTCCGTATGCAAATGATTTAGCTATGGAAACATTAAATTTGCTTCTGCTATTTGGTTC